CTTACTATCTTAGTGAAGTCTTGAGTCTTTTTTTAAAAAAATGTTTATTGAGGGAGAGAGAGAGAGAGAGAGAGAGCGAGCATGAGTAGAGGGGCAGAGAGAAAGGGAGACAGAGAATCCCAGGCAGGCACCTGACTGTCAGCACAGAGCCCAACTGGGGGCTCAAACCCATGAACCGTGAGATCATGATCCAAGCTGAAACCAAAACCAACTGAGCCACCCAGGCACCCCTGAAGGTGGTATCTTTTAAAATTTTAGATACAAACTTATTTGGGGCCCTGTGTCTGTCCTTAACAGCGTGGCAGTGGTAGGAGAGGGACTAGGGTCCTCATTGTTTTTCACAAAGAACTAAAGAGTTGTGATTTAGGGATCACCAAGGGGTAGACCCAAGCTGGACAAACTGAAAGTGGCAGAAATATTCAGAAAGTTGGTGTGTTCAAGACATGGCAAAATTATCATGATATACGTCTCTGGTTTACAGTAAAGGTAACTGGGGTTTGTGGTGGGTTTTGGTGCCTCCTTGAGTTGGAAAAACCGTGGCTTGGGGTCAAATGTGACCCACCTCCTGGTCTTGTAGAGCCCACAAGCTAAGAATGCTTTTTGCATGCTTAAATGGTTGAAAAAAAATCAAAAGATATTTTATGACATGTGAAAATTATATGAAATTGACATTTCAGTGTCTGTAAAGAAAACTTTATTAGCACAGCCACTCCTATTCATTTACATGTTGTTTCAGATGGCTCATGTGACAGGGGCTGCATGTGGCCCACAAAGCTTAAAATATTTATTGTGTGTGGCCCCTGACAGAGTTTGCTGACCCGTGACATAGTGCCCCCCTTCCTTCAAAATTGCCAAGGGTTTAAACCCTGGAATAGTAGATGTCTTTCTGATGTTGTCAGAAGGGTGTGTGGGAGCCAAATACTTCAGGATTCCTCCCCAACCCCCCACCCCCACCCCCACCCCACACGTCCACCTACCACTTCAGATGATGAGCTGTTATGGATCGAGCCTGGTTCTGTGGATCAGGCTCACCCCTCTGTGTGTGTCCAGCCCAATCTCGGCCTTTTCACATCTGGCCTACTCTAAATATCCTCATTCTAAATTTTTTCAATTAAAATTTTTTTTTAATTTTTTGGGAGAGAGAGTGGGGGAGGGGCAGAGGGGGAGAGAAGGAGGGAGGGAGGGAGAGAGAGAGAGAGAGAGAGAGAGACAGAGAGAGAGAGAGAGAGAGAATCACAGAATCTTAAGAGGCTCCATGCTCAGCGAGGAGCCCAGCCTGAGTCGGGGCTGGAACTAATGACCATGAGATCATGACCTGAGCCAAAATCAAGAGTCAGATGCCTAAGCAACTGAGCCACCCAGGCACCCCTATATATCCTCATTCTAGACTCCTGGCCCCTCAGCCTCACATCCCTTCTCTTAAGAATATTAACAGCTAACATTGGTTGAGAGCTTACTCTCAACCAATAATAAGTTGAGATAACCAAAAATAAGTTTTATCTCACTTATTTCTTAGGATGAGATAGGTAATCCCAGGAGGGAGGTATTATTATCATTATTCCCATTTTACACATACAGAAACTAAGGTTCAGAGAGATGCAATAACATGCCTGCGTCAAAAACCAGTAAGTAACAGAGCCAGCACCCAAACTGAAGTCGTTTGGACTCCAGGAACTGTGTGGCCAGAGGGGCAAGGCAGCTACCCGACATGACATTTTCCTGTTAATCTTCCACCTTGGAATTCTCTCCTCGGATTCCCTTCGCTGCTGCCACATCCGAACCAAACCCAACCCAGGGGATTGTTGATTCCTTTTCTTTTTGAACTGTTTTCAGAGCGGCTTTTCTTTGATTTTATCCTGACACAACTGAGGAAGGACAGAACATTTTTAAGACACTTTGCTAAAAAACTAAGGGAAACCAAATGAGAGAAACAAGAAACTTTACCCCCAACCCCCAAATCCATTTCCTCCCCAGTGAGGCTGGTTGATAGGCTAGCTTTGCAGACACAGGGCACCTGTGCAGTATAGAGTCCCATCCAGAAATATTCCTCTAGAAAGCTTTTAGAAGATCTTTTGTTGCCCCCAAAGGCCAGGCAGGAGCGGTAAGTAGATTGCTTCCCCAGATGAGCCTGGCCAAGCACTCAGCACCTTCACACCTTCCCTTTCCTGATCCTTCTGCCCTGGCCTCCCCACACCTCTTACGCTTGCTGCTCTTCTCTGTTCTGGCCTCACCACCTGGGCCACATGCCAGGCTCTAAGAGGCTTCTGTCCTGCTTCCATCAACAACTTTCTAGCCATGTAGCATGTTACTTCCCCCAAAAGGACATGGAAATGAGCATTTTCTTCTGACTTTCACCTCTGCTCTCTGAGGCAACCTGTCTCCAGTGCAGCGAAGGGGTCCAGGGAGCTCCCCCAGCCTTCTAACACTAAGGGCTGGGGCCCCGGCTTGCTTACTCCTCCTTTCTCTCCTGAAAACCAACCTTCCTGAGCATGTAAGGAATTTCCATACCTCTCGCGTCTCCTCTAAGGAGTCCATTTCTGTCCATCCTGCCATGATTGCTTCAGATTTCTGCCCTTGGTTTCTGTTTTCCCCCTCCAACTCAAGACTCATTGGTTGGTTGAATTTACAGTTCCTTTCCCTTTATTCAATAGATGTTTCTGTCCTAGCAGCCCAAAGGAAAGGATGTCTGAGAGAATAGTAAAGGAGAATTCCTGCAGAGTCCACTCCCAGAAAAGCAGGAACCATGGTGGCATTTAGCAGATTAAAAGGTGAAGATCGTGTTGGATTGTGGGGCACTCTGGTGCCCACAAATCCCAGCCCTTAGATTGACTCTGGCTTCTACTCTAGTCTTCCTTCACTAGGACTCAGCTGGGTTTGAGACACCCCGCCTTGTATTGGGCCTTCCACATTGGAGTCCCCGTGGCAACCCAAGTCCCCCTAGCTGCTCCACGTGGTGGGTGAATGTCCAGAGTGACTTTGTGAGTAAAGGAACCCTTCACACCAACTTTCAGACCTCTCTCAGGGTACAGGGGTGTCATGTAGAGTTTGCAAAGCAGATCCTTTAGGACTTCTGATTTCTGTCTAAAGCCAACCAATTGGAAGGTAGGGTGCCCATTATAGAAATCTAGGTGGGTTGTACAGAAAGAAAGAAAATAAGGAAGGAGAGAAGGGGGAAGGAAGGAGGAAGCAGGGAAGGAAAGAAGGAAGGAAGGAGGGAAAGAAGGAGGGGAGGGAGAGAGAACTGGAGGGAACTTTACCTAGTTGAAGGTAAGGCAACACACACTATTAATGTCATCATCCTTGAAGCTCTGGTTAGCTCTCTGCTGCTTTTGGCTTTTACAAACAATGACATGTTATTTCTTCATAATAAGCACAGAGAGGGATTACATAGTTTGTTATCTTGGTGTGGTTCATATTAATCACATGCTGGCTCTAAATCAATTTTCTGTTTTTCATTGGATGGGTGTGCACGTATTATTGGGAAAATGTATATTTCTCTGTTCTTTAGGAACTGGAATGAAACTTCAAAATCTAATTTGCCCCACCATAACAACTATACCAACCTCAAATAGTCATAGAAGTAAATATCAATTAGGAAAACAATGAAAAATATGTGTTTCCATGAATATAGTTTCCCTTCTAATTCAATACATCCCATGCTGTTGGAACTGTAAAGGGGTGTATGTGAGAGTGTGTACATGTCTGTGTGTGTGTGTGTGTGTGTGTGTGTGTGTGTGTGTGTGTGTGTGTGATTTTTTGCTGTTCACGGATATAAAGGGCTCTTTCTGAAAAATGTGCTCGAGAGCCCAGAAGCTCAGCATTTAGTCTTTGCTACCAACCTTACATTTTCATTTGGAAGCTTTGGTGTGATGGGTGGTGTTCTTTTCATACTTTCCTCAGTAATTCTGATTTTGAAAACACCAAATACAAGAAAACCCCAAGTTCCTAACTTTCTAGTTCCAAGATGTCTAGGAGTGGTGTCTTATTTTGTACAAGGCTGTTTGAGGTGGTGCTGATGCCATCATTGTGAAGAGTGGCAGTGAACTGTGACATTTTCTTTCTTGTCAAACAGCCCCTGCCAGGTAACCTGCGCTGGCACCATGGTCACATCAAGGGCACCTAGAACTGCTATCGCCAGAGTCAGATGCCATTTGCATTGCCCCCAACACAGGAGCACAGCAAAATAGATGTTCCTTTGCTCTGGACTCTTCCTGTTTTCTTCCTGGGGCTGCACATGCCACTCTTCCCCCCACGCCCCCCTGCCATTTGGAAAAATAAAGCATTCAATTGACCATCCACTTATCCATCTGCTGCCCTGTACTTCATGTTTTTCTCCAGACAACCTCCTGAAATTATTGGTCTTTACAAACTCCCTCACTGTTTTCATCACCTACTCTGGAAACTTCTGTAATATGAATGCTACCTGTCACTGCACTAATAGTATACACAGCCTCCATTTTCCTTGAAACCTCTGCAGCACCTGGTAATTCTGGCCGGGCTTTCTTTCTCTCCTTAGTCCCTTTTCCCTGTAGGTATGCTAGCCTCCCTTCTGCCTCTTGGACTGCATACAATGCTTGTCACTAGCCCTCCTTTTTCTTAACTGTGGGTTAGTAGGGTGCCTTCAGTAGGGTGACCATGTAAGTTTTCATCCAGACCAAGATATCTTTGAGAATTAAAGGGTGCCCAGTGACCACAGGCACACACTGAGATCATCCCCGACAAATGGAGAGGTCCAGCCATCCTCTCCTTACTTAAGGCCCAGGGCAGGAGATGAGTGAACATAGATCAAGGAGCTTCCACAATCCATCTTAGAGTTGCTTAGCTACTTCAGCTTAGAATCTCAAGTTAGAAACTCAGTGTCCCATTCATGGAACAACCCAGTTACCTGAGAAATAAGATTAAGCAGAAAAGAGGGGTGAGGAGAGAGGTTTAGGTGGGGGAAAGGCAGAGCTGGTTGAACCGGTCCTGTGGCACTCTGGATTCCATCACGGGGTCTGCTCTTATAGATGAAGATGAACACGGTGCTGAAACCTCTTCCAGGCTCTTCTCAGCCCAGGGTTGCCCAAGATCAGTAGCACTGAGTGGCCAGCTGGGTAAGCAGCCATGACGATTTTGCACAAAATATTCCAGGAATTGTTGACGTCAAAGATGTTGGACATGGAAATGAATAGAGCAACTGCATTGAAAATATAGAAAATGAGAAAGTAGCTGATAGCTTTGATCGCCCCCATGTGAGCCTCCATGCTGGGGTCCCTGAAGCCAGTGGCATGTGTAGGGTGTATCTCTTGTGTAGGGTGTATCTCTTGAGAGAGATGATCAGCAGAGTGGCTGCAGAGATGAACATGATCAGAGGAATGAAGATCCCCAGGTTATAGAGAAAAACCAGGTTGACCATGTTAGTCTCAGAGAAGTACTTCTTCTCAGTGGTGTTGGAGGAGGGGATAGGAACGGAACTATTTATGTACACATTGAAGATATCTTTAGAGAAGCGAAAGCTGAAGCATAAGGAGATGAACAGTGACAGCCCCAGAAGCCGAGGCATCATCTCTCTGATTTTCCTCTTCATCATGGAGAACAAACAGTGAGCAAAGTTTGCAATTCGAAGGCAAGAGACGATGTTGAGCCAGGCAGCAAGCCAGAGGTTGGAATAGTTCAGAAACATGGTGATTTTGAAGATTATAAACACTGTGTTTTGGTTGTAAGTGACCAGGAAGAATAGACTGTAAATATTCTCCAGCATCATCCAGATCTGCAGCAAAAGCCTGGAGAAGCTCAGTTTCAACAGGATACAGTCACTCACAGGGAGCCTTTTGCCTCTGGCCCACTCGGCCCCCTGGATGGCATTGATGAAGCCATTCCCAATCATGCCAGTCATGCACTCTACTCCAGAGACCACCATGGTGAGGACAATTTTACACCTGGACGTGTCTCTATCCATGGCGTCTGTGTTCACTGTCACCATTCTCTTTGGCCCTGACCTCCAGGTTTCCATGCCAAGGCCTGGTACCTGCTATGCAGTCTTCTGATCCTCACTCAATGTTATTATAATTTTTTTCCCCAGTTAATGGTTATTTCCAATTTTTCTTCATTTGTTTGCCCCATGACTACAGGTCGGAGGCTTGAAAGGCAAATGATGGGAGGATCTTGTTACTGGATGTCTCTGTTTTTCATAAAGACCCATTTGCCTCGGGCTTGCAGGAGCTCACTGGAAAAAATTTGAGATAGGTTCCTATCATGGCATCTTTCTCCCTTACTTACTTTAAGCCCATATACACCTGACAGGCAAGAGTCCCACATTAGGAGTCTTTGTGCTCACGCATTTGTGCTCATTTCATAAGACCGGTTACCTGCCAAATTGTAAAAACACAACAGCTCCTTTGATCTGCCTTCTCCTGCTTCTTTTTGTCTCCCTTATTTGCAGAGACATTTTTATCCTGTGGTTAGCATGTTCATGAATAAGAAGTTCCCATCAGTTTGTATGCAAACGTTTTTACTTAGACCCAAGTTTCCTCCAGAAAGGTCAGCTATTATAATGTCCTCAGACACAGAAGAGCCAAAATTTGATGCCATTTGGGTTAATTAGAGACTAGAAAAACTGCCTTGTGACAGTTTCATTGTTTGTGTGTTTATCACTGATTATAATTTACACTGCGATGCACATCAGTATTTCAACTCAGAATCGGGTTAGAATTAGCTTGGGCAAGTGGTGGGGTGTTCTGAACACAGTGCTGAAGTTGAGAAATGTGATCAGACACTGTTAACTTGAAATTTAAAGTCATATGCAGATGCCCACGCCTCATTCCTGATCTTGTTAAGTCAGAATCTGAGCTAGGGCCCAGACATGTTGTATTTAAAAAAAATTTTTTTTTAATGTTTATTTTTGAGAGAGACAGAGACAGAATGCGAGTGGGTTAGGGGCAGAGAGAGAGGGAGACACAGAATCTGAAGCAGGCTCCAGGCTCTGAGCCGTCAGCACAGAGCCTGACGCAGGGCTTGATTGAACTCACGAGCTGTGAGATCGTGACCTGAGCCGAAGTCAGATGCTCAACCGACTGAGCCACCCAAGCGTCCCATAGACATGTATTTTTAAAAAGTTAAAAGTTCATATTGCTCAAAGCCAGACTGAGAACCAAAATCTTAGCTACAGATTAATGAGTCTTGGGGCCAAATCTGGCCTGCCATTGTGTTTTATCCTGCACAGCCTGAGAACTGGACGGCATTAGGCCCACCGCCAGTGCTTGCTACTTTCTGCTGGTCAACGTGCAAATTTAGGAGGTTGCATATATGCACAAAAAGTCTGTCTGCCCTTGAAAAATTAGAAGATTGGGGAACATTGGGACCACATGGTGAATTGGTTGAGGAAGAATAGTAGCTGCACATTTTTTTTATTTTATTTTTTAAACTTTTAAAAAATGTTTATAATTTATTTGTTAGTATAATTTATTGTCAAATTGGCTAACATACAGTGTGTAAAGTGTGCTCTTGGTTTTTGGGGTAGATTCCCATGGTTCATTGCTTACATACAACACCCAGTGCTCAACCCAATGAGTGCCCTCCTCAATGTGGCTGCACATTTAAAACAAGGTTATGTATGTACTTTTCAGTTTGTCACAGTATTCACCAACTCCTAGCATCTTCTTGATTCTGAGGCTTCATGCCAGCGTGATGGCCCTGTTGTAATTTTTCTAATAGAAATGGAGAGATGATGAAAATGGATTTCTCCATCTCCAAATTAATTTTATCTCAAATTAAACTCAGAGAGGGGCGCCTGGGTGGCGCAGTCGGTTAAGCGTCCGACTTCAGCCAGGTCACGATCTCGCGGTCCGTGAGTTCGAGCCCCGCGTCGGGCTCTGGGCTGACAGCTCAGAGCCTGGAGCCTGTTTCGGATTCTGTGTCTCCCTCTCTCTCTGCCCCTCCCCCGTTCATGCTCTGTCTCTCTCTGTCCCAAAAATAAATAAATGTTGAAAAAAAAAAAAAAATTTAAACTCAGAGATTTATTTTTATTATAAAATTGCCTCTTATTATTAAATCATGGTTGCATACACATAGCACCAGAAAAAGCAACGTATTGCAAAATTAGGAAAGCATTGTTTAGAGAAACTGAAATTCATGTCAACACAAAGACTTGGACAAGAGTGTTCATAGAAGCTTTACGCATAATAGCCAGAAACAGGAAACAACAAGATTTCTTGACAGGCACCTGGGTGGCTCAGTTGGTTGAGTCTCTGACTCTTGATTTCGGCTCAGGTCGTGATCCCAGGGTCATGGGATCAAGCCCCTCATTGGGCTCCAGGCTGAGAATGGAGCCTTCTTAAGATTCTCTCTTTCTCCCTCTGCCCCTCCCCGCTGCTTGTGTGCTCTCTCTAAAAAAAAAAAAAAAAAAAAAAAAAAAAAAAAAAAGATTCCTTGACAAGTTCTGCATATCTGTTGAGAGTCATTAACTTCTGTTACTTCTGCTAATAGAGAGTAGTATTTATCATCAGCTTTCGTGAATTCCAATGCACCAGACTCATCTTTTTGTGTATTTTGTTCCAACTTATATCAGTTTGTGATAAATAATATCCCCTAAATTTTTTGCACACAATTTTTTTCTACTGTTCTAGTACTATCTTCTGTTGGCATTTATTCACCTTTTTTCTCTGATCTTAATAGGAAGAGCAGTGGGGGCTGATGATATGACTGGTGCCATATCAATAAGGATGTGGGGCCAATTCGGTTTTTATTCTATGATCCTTTCTCATTCAGGAAGCTAGAATGGAGTCTCCTTTGGAGGAGACTATGGAGGAGGTCCATGGGGGAAGCAAAGACGAAAGGTTTCATATTCTTGGCTATTGGGTTCAAAAGCTTTGGTGCAGGTGTCAGATAAATCAGATTTGGAAGACTATGTGTTTGGGGGAACCATTTCCTCCACTTCTCTCTCAAACATCACCATGCAGACTAGAAGATGCTTTCCCAGTTGGGGAGGAATGAGAAGTGCAGGGAAGAGTCAGAGGAGGTAAGCATCTCCATGAAAGAGACCTAGGATCCTGCCTACCGCTCATGGCCGCAGGGGTGGCAAAGTCAAAGTGGGGCTGCAGGACTGCTCCAGAGTCTCTCCAGGCACACTTGAGAGAGCCACTAAACCTTGTGTTCACACAAAAGGCTTAAAAATTTGCTGCAGGAGTTAGTGGATTCCAAAGGGGTCCGGTGGTCTTATCCAGGAGGCTTTGCAAGCTTGGGTTCATATGAAGCCAATGCAAAGACAAAGGAATGGCCATGGAAGAGGCTTCCCACTCCCCACCTCCCTCCAAGTCTGTTTGATGCCCACAGAACATGGGTGTCACTTCCCAGAAGACAGGAAGAAGAAATTCTGAGAAAATCTTATAATCATAGTGTTTAAACCTGTGTGACTGAGAAAACACTGGAGTATGATTCATTGATAAAGTGGTGTCAAGTCATTAAGCAGGATAAACGTGACCAAGATTCTTTCCTTCGATCGTAGTGCCCAACTCCATGCTTCTGACTCTCCCTTTCCCATCCCATGGTGACATGTTGGGCAGATTTCATCTTTCCTAGTCTTTTTTGGTTATTAATATTCGATCCAGTTTAGTTTCATGCTTGGTTTAAACCTTACCATCTCCCCTCCTCCCACCCCCAGCACAGTTTGAACTGAGACCACATCTGCTTGGATTGGAGGGGGACCAGGTGGGTCTGGGACACCTGTCTCTCCCTCTTCTTCCAGGGTGCTGCTGTGGGAGAGGGGACAGGTGGTAGCTGTATTTCATTGGCTGCTATGGTGAATTCATCCCCTTATGCTTGCTGCTACTGCCCTGACATCATCTGGCCATCTGTGCCTCTGGGGGTCAGGCATCATGTACTGGCTGTCTCGTGAGGAGCACATGTGAGGTCTGCTTGCTCCACATCTGTCCTTCTCAACCTTGTCTATATGCCAGAATTGCCTGAATTAACACTGTGGGTCTTTAAAAGACATCATACCCATGTCCCATCCTCAAAGATTTTGAGTAATCGTGGTGGAGAAAAGCTAAGCATTGGCATTTCCACAGCTCCCCATTGTGGCTCCAGTAGGAGCAAGGGAGGGTTGAGAACCACTACAGGCAAGGGGTACTTACTGGCATGGTTTATGGTGTGGACATCCTTATGGAAGAGACTGAATGCCTTCCTGGACAAGACTGAGGACATGTTCTTCCATCAGGTGGAGGAGATCAGATCCAGAGGTTGAATTACAGAGAAGAGTTATGTATTTTGCAGAACTAAGTTGTGCTTTGTGAAGGTCACTTCTCCTGTATCGTGTTAGAAAAGCGAATATTTCTTACGTCTCTGTGAAAAGGAGGAAGTAGAACATAGACGTAGAGAGTCCTATGTTCCACTTTGTAAACTGAAGTCCACTTCTGTGTGTTTATGTGGCAAAGGATGTAATTTAAGACAACAGCCTAGGTGGCGTGATGAAACAAACCACTGTAAGAAAAAAGACCAAGGATGTGGAAAAGATGTCTGATCAAATCCTAAGAGCTGCAAAGAGAACTGAAAAGCCAGCAAGGTTTGTTTTGATTTTTAATACAATCAGCAGTTATATATTTTAGTGAAAAATCTGCCTGGGCCATCAAATTCTTCACAGATAGCAAGTTGTAAAGGAGTGTCTATTGAATGGGGTAGAAATTGTATGTCCTGAGAAGATACAGACGTGTGAAAATAGAAGTGTAACCAGAAACACTGTTGCTCAATGTACTAGAAATATGGCTAGGAAACTAAAAGAAAAATTGTGTGAAAAAAGTTTTAAACATTGTGACATTTGCTTCTGCAGCTGATGAGGGGACATATTTAGTAATACTTAGATGTAATAATTAGCTCTATTTATTCACCGTGGGTTTGAGAATTTTTATACGACTGAAAATATTTTAGACAGTGTGCCCATGACAGGCACAACACTAGGAAGTAATTAAGAAATTCATTTCTGTAACAAGA